ATATTTTTTTCTTCTTGAATAAAGTGTCACCATGTTTTTCTCGCAAACTCTTCTTTTTTTCCCCGATGCATTTTGCAATAGTATCCAGGCTTGTGGAGCCGACTGTTTTTTTGACGGCTCGGCTCCGGCTCCTAAGAAATACCCGGCTCCGGCTCGGAGCCGGGTATTTCTTAGGAGCCGGAGCCGGGTATTTCTTAGGAGCTTTAGGTCCTGTGCCCACTGGATACCCAGTGGGCACAGGACCTAAAAAAGACGTATTTTGAACGTTCAAAAGACGCTCAAAACGTTTAAAAGACGTTGAAAACACTCCAAATACGTTTAAAAGACCTCTTTTGTATGTCCCATGTCCACTGGGTAAAGCATGCGGTCGTTAAATTAAAAACGATAAAATATTCAAAAAAATTAAAAATAGTTTAACTAATGCAAAAACTACAAAAAATATTTATTTTAATCTAAGGAACTTGAAGGTTATAAAAACGGTTTTTACTTTAATATTTTTATTATTTCAAATAAATAAGCAAACATTTACGCTTATTAACGACATTAACTTCTCAATGGGACGGAATTGTGTGCATTCAAGCTTTTTGATATGAATTTGATGTCACTCTTCTTAGAATAATGACAAGAAGCCAGATTAGGCCACAACCAACAAGGAAGATCATGACTACCAAAAAATTCTAAAAGTTTAGCATGCAAGTTAACTTTGACGTAAACATCCAAGTTTAAAATTGACGATGTGACAAAGCTCGAGATTTCAAACCGCAGCTGCATATTGCTTACCAAATTTTAATCTTAAAAAAACTCTGAAACTTTATATCCTTTGGCTCGCACTCTGTTCGATAAGCCGGGGTTTTGCGTGAATGATCGTCGAATATTAATTGCGGTTTTCTTACCCTTAAAGCTACTCTTTCACCCAGATCCTTTAGCTTGTTTGAAAGATAGAGAGCTCTTGTATTGTTTTATGACAATGCAAACAGTAGTTTTACAAGATTCAGATGCCTTAGCAATTGAAATTAATGATGTAGAAGGACTTCGTAAATAATTGTGCAGAATTTTTTTTCGTTTTTCTAAATGTTTCAATAACATTTTAATTAAGAGAATCATTTTGATTCGTTTGTTGATGTTTTTAATTAATACCATAATTACTTTAAGTAATTATGCGAAAAAACTGACTGTTAGAAAAAAATATTTTCAAAAAATAGAAGTTCAATAAATAATTCATGCAACAAAATAGTTTAACAATAAATGAATAAAGTTTGTCTACAAAAAATATACACACATTCTATTGCGTTAAAAAAAAAACACGAGAGCCGCTCGATTTTTGTGGCTCCGGCTCCACCAAAAAACGGCGGCTCCGGCTCGGCTCCACGAGCCTGATAGTATCTTATCTTCGTCAAACCATTTTCATCAGTTTTATCTAAATTGTTATCGTTTTGTGATAATTCTAGATTCTTTTTTGCTATCTTATACATATCATAACTTGAAACATATCATAACTTGTGGTGTTCGCCAGGGATCAATCTTAGTGCCCTTATTATTCATACTGTTCATTAATGATTTGTATTTAGCATCCAAAATTCTAAACGTTATTTTGTTTGCTGATGACTCAAATCTTTTTTACTCTAACAGAAATATTAAAGATCTGTTTAGAATTTTTAATGAAGAGTTATTAAAAATAAATGAATGGATTACGAATAATAAACTTTCATTAAATGTTGGGAAAACTAAATTTATGTTGTTCCACAAACCTAGTAAAGGTGATAACCTTTTTTTTAAACTATCTGATCTCTTTATGAACAAAAAAGTTATTAAAAGAGAGTCAACTATTAATTTTCTAGGAGTGATATTAGATGAAAATATATCATGGAAATATCATATTAGATCTATTGAAAATAAAATCTCCAAAAATATTTCAATGCTATATAAAGTTAAACCTTTTCTTAATACGGAATCTTTAAAAATTATATATTTCTCATTTATTCATAGTTATCTTTCCTATTGTAATCTTGCATGGGCAAGTACCAATTATGGGAAGCTCAAAAAAATTTATAGCAAACAAAAACATGCTTGTAGGATTATTTTTGGCGTTAACAGAATATAAATATTAAGCACATTAAGTTTCTTTAAAAGAGATTCACCATTAACAGAACTGTTAATGGTGAATCTCTTTTAAAGAAACTTAATGTGCTTAATATTTACAAACTTAATATATACCAAGTTATGCTATTTACGTTTAAAACAAAACATGCGTTATCTCCTAATATATTTCAGTCTTACTTTACCGAAATATCTCATAAATATCCCACTAAATTTTCATCTGATAATTTTGTTATTCCAAGATCTTATTTAAAACTCAATTCATTTCAAATTCAATACCGGGGACCATTTATATGGAAAGGTTTTTTAAAAAATATAATTAAAAATAAACTTCTTCGAGGCATCTTCTTAGAACAATTCAAAAGAGAATCTAAACGTTTTCTATTAGAAAAAACTTTCGATTTTAAAGATTTCTTCTAAAATCACCTAAAATAATTAAACCTGAAAAAGTCATCACTACTCATTTACTATTGTCTTGTGTATCTTGTTTATTTCTTATTAAAATAAAAAATATATATACTATTAATTTTGAACAGACAAATAACATTTATTCGATTTATTACTTGTGTCTTATATTTGTCGAACTAATATTGTATTGTACTTCAATTTTTAACCTTTTAGTTTTTAACTTGTAACTTTGTGACGTTAATGTAAACGGGGCTTGGCGATAAGACAGTTTATGTCTTCTTCTTGCTCCGGCCAATTTTTATACATGAATGGTTTTTTCTCATTGTAAATTTAATTATACGGCAAAGAAAATATAATATAATAATAATAATATATAATATCTGTTTTTGAAATTTTATTTGCTATCATTTTCTCCGTTCCTGCTACTAAGGTTGTTGCTCTCAAAATTCTCTTTTTTTTTCAAATAATAAAATTTCTAACTAAGTTGTATCTTTTGATCTTTTTATTTTCCCGTTTTGCAGGCTGAAATATTTTTTTTCATTTTAAGTTGCAATGTCAAATTTTAATCTTAAAAAGTCAGGGTTAGGGTTCTATTAATAAGTCAGGGTTAAGGATTCTGTTTCTCACAAATTTTAGATATAATTTTTGTTCCTTTTCTCGGATCTAAAAGTTTTCTTGAGTCGTTTTTTAAGGTAAACCGTCGGCTATTAATTGCTATTTCCTCCACTAAAGCAATTTCGTAAGTTTCTTTATTCATTTTTATTTTAATGGTTACAAAAGTTTCAATGAGGGTTGTTGCTGTAAATTTTTTATTTTCTTTGTCTTTACTAATGCATAATATTTTAAGAAGTCGACCTGATAAAATTCTAAATGTTTTCAAGTTCTTTTTATTGATTGTTTGATAAAGGTAAACTTAACATAAATTATAGTTTGTAAGTTATCAAAGAAACATTAATGTATAGATTCTTTAACTTTGTTTTTATACGTAATATTCAGTCTTAAAAAAATTATTAAATAATAGATGAATAAATATGAAACAGTTACTTTTAAGGAACGACAAAAAATAACTTTTCCTTGACTTGTTTTAGATTAATTTTATAATAGCGGCAAATTTAAAAACAAAAACATTTCAAAAAAACTCGTGGTTTTTTAATTCAGAACCCTAGGTTAAAACACCTTTTTTGGTTTGGACCCCTTGGGTTTCTGGAACCCTGAAATAGTGGGGTTCTAAAAAAGTTTTCTAGAACTCATCGAGAAAAAAAGGGAAGCCCGCGGGTTCCAGAACTCTTATGTTTCTAGAACCCTTTTAGGGGTTTTGGCACTCCTCAATAATGGGCTTTTGAACCTCTTCGGAGTTTTAATCCTTTTTTATAAACAAGTGGATTTTTGTAACTGTTTAAAATAAAGTTGAATAACTTTTTGTTAATGGTGTACTAAATTATCAATTTAAAAATTAATGATTCAAAAAGACAAAACCTTTTTGAATAGACTATAGAATCCAAATACAGTAAAATAATTTATACGTCGATCTAAATTAAATTTGACAATCAAAATTTATCGTTATAGACAAAAAAATAAAATGTAGCTACAGTGATACAGGTATAAATTCCTATTGTATAAATTCAGATATAATTCTTAGATATTATAAATTCTTTTAGATTTTAGAAAGTATTTTTATTAAGTTCGTAATATAATTTTACATTAAAAAATTGATAATGTAAAGTTTCATCAAATCTCGTGTTATACAACAAGAAATTTTGATTTCCAAGATATGGTCTTTAACTTTTTCAAAAGTTTTTAAAAAAATGTTTTTTTTCTCTAAATAATTATACAATATAATATAGAGTTCGAGTTTAGGAAATATTAAAGACATCTGAAACTCGAGCGGAAAATTTAGCAATGTGAAAAACAACAACAACTGAAAACTGGAAAACCCGTATTTTTACCACATTCAACAAAAATATTAATAAATTAAGTAAATCCTATTTAGTACAAATACATAAGAACAAAACAAAGCATCGGTAAATTGCATTAGGGTAACCACGTTAGAGCAGGATTAAATAATCGTGAATTAATTCAACCTAGTTCAACTGTTAAAATTAAAAGCAGCTACATTTCATAAAAACATTTAAATTAGTTTTTTTTATTAGTGTGTCCAAGTAATGTTGAACAAACTTGGAAAAACTTTGAAGCCTTGAGTGACATTTAAATAGAATGTAGATATTCTTTTGAAACTAAAGCTGGGGCTTCAACGATGATCTGTTCTTTACTGCTCTATATGTAAATGTTGTAAAAAACATTTCGTGATTATTTTCTAGTATTAAATCTATTAAATATAATTGATCTTAGGAATATGTTAATCTTCAAAAAACAAACAAAACGAAAACAAACAAACCCTAAACCAAAAATGTTAGAAATAATAAAAAAAATGTGTGGATTTAAGAAATAGAGGAAAAAAGTAAATAAACGTTAATAGATACGAAATTACAAAAAAATTTAAATTATCAGATAACTCTTTAATCATCTTCTCTTAAGAATTTATAAACTGAAGAAAAATCTAATTTGGCGTAGCCACGATTGCACATAACACGATAAGTTTGATGAGCAAGCGAGCCCAAAGGTGTAGCAGACCGAGTTGAAGTAGCAGCATTTTGAGCAAGACCAAGATCCTAAAAAGTATTTAAACGCAAAATTAAATATATAAAACTTTTAATTACCTAACAGATTAAGCCAAAAAAATTTATAATACCGAACTTAACGGACCAAACTGTAAAAGTAAAAAAAAATATATATATATTTTCTTGTTCAAAGTTTAAAAATTTTGACTTAAAGATTTAAAACCATTAAACCTTTGCCATTAGCTGTACTCCAAAACCTCTTTGATAGTTGTTACTGGAAGGTACACTTTCCATAACTCCTGGACATGGATTATACATCTCACTTGACCAACACCTTCCAGAACTCATATTTATTATACGTGCCAGCATTTTTTTATCCAAGCCTAGCCTAGTTCCAAGGTTCATAACTTCCGCAGTACCTATCATGGATATGGCAAGCAGCATGTTATTACATATTTTTGCAGCCTAAACAAATATTAAACTAAAATTAATCTTTTGATTAGGTTTGATTTAGTTTTATCGTCAAATAACCAAATAACTCTCAGATGACACGGTTTTCTAAAAATGAGATTAAAAAAAACATATATAGAACATGAAGGCGACAACTGAATATAAATTAAACTTTTTCACATTCTACATTTACTATTCTCAGATTAAAACAGGAAACCAATCATTTCTAGTAGAAAACTAAAATACTTCATAAATAATGCTTTTTATGATTTACCAAATTAATTAGAAAAAAGAAAAATTTAAAAAGAATGAGAATATCTTTCAAAGTTATTTAAGCTTTTAACAGGTCCAAGTTGGATTGTTTTGTCATTTATGTTTTTTTATTTCAAAAAAAAAATGATTACCATGGTTGAATGGTTGATTACCATGGTTGCAAATTTTCAAAAAGTTCTTTTTATTCTATTTGAAAAAGAAAATTTAGTTAAAACAGAGATTTGAGCTTTAATAATTAAACAATGAATTATGTTTTATTAGTGATCTACCAATCCACTATTGTCGTTACTACTTTCTCAAATGCATAAATTAGAGAAAACTCTATCACATCTCTTTTACTTCCATCCTATGCAAAAATACAAATGCCATGTTTTTTAACAGCAATTGACGCTCATTAACATTACATTTATCTAGAAAGCATTTAAATATATTATAATTAGGAAAAATTAAAAAGTAAGAGATCATTGTTGAGATGAAAATATTGTAATGCTTAAAAAAAAAAGGTAAATAAACTCCATTGGCCTTAAGGAGGTTAATTTAATGTATATGTATATAAAGATATATTTTTTAAAATGGTTGTTTTAAAGCTGTTCTATATCATAGGCCCTAAAACCATTTTTTCTCTCCGCAATAGTAATTTACTTCCAGTTTTTTTTTAAATTCTCTCCCATTACAGAGAAATACAAATTACAGATAAATATTAAATAACATTAACTTATAGTAATACAAAAAAGTTTTAAAATTATTGTTAAATATACTGTAAATGGTAATTGAGCTCTATTCTAAATTTCTGGTAATTTAATCAAGATAAGGTATCTTTTGAGCAATTTTAAGGGGAAAATTTTCAAGGTATATTTTGAACAATTTTAAGGGAAAGTTTTACAACAAAAAATATACAAAATTTAAAAAAAAAAAAAAAAAAAAAAATCAAATGCTAATCATCAAATGATGATCAAATGATGATCAAAGATTTTAGTGGTAAAATATTTATCATTTTATACATTTTTTTGTTCTATGCATTTTTTTATTTATAGGAACTAAACTTTTTATAAATTAACTGTGTATGCATTATGTTCCACCATTATATCAGAAGTTTCAAAAACTTTTAATGTTACAAATCCTTATAACATTTTAAAAAATTGCAGCTTTCTGGACTATAGAGAACCTCTCTTTCTATAATTGTTTATATATATATATATATATATATATATATATATATATATATATATATATATATATATATATATATATATATATATATATATATATATATATATATATAAACAATTTCAGATACCATATATTTAGGTTTATGTGAAGCCAAATACTCGATAAGACAATATTGAAATTTATGTTTCTAAATGTCAAACAAGGCAAGAAGACTCAACATAACAATACACAAATATTTGCTGCAATTTGCCAACAACGTTATGTAACATTTTATTATTTTACTATCAATCATTTACAAGGACTCACCTGCCCCGTTCCTATACTTCCACAGTGTACAACATTTTTAGCCATACTTGACAATAGTTTCTCAACAACAATAAAATCTTCAGCACTCCCTCCCACCATAATTGTTAATGTTCCTTCTTTTGCAGCGTTAACACCTAAACATATGATAAATATCAAAAAGAAAATAGAAAAGACTTTTTAAAATGTGAAATATTTTTATTTTCAGAAGATGGCAAATTCTAAATTTTGAAGTTTCAATAAAGTAAGTTTTTTTTGTTGTTTATGTTGCATAATGTAATTCTCCGCGTGGTGAAAGAGAGATGCGAACGATTTGCATTTCTTAAAAACAAAAGTTTACATTTTTAAACTTCAATTTTTTGTGTTTCCCGCTTATTTTTGACTATTACTGTTATATATTTTTAAAAATTTGAATTTTTTTGAGAAGCTTTTCCTATATAATTTATTTATTTTTTTATAAATCTTTTTTCAACCTAATTATCAAACAAAACAAAACTACCACTAAAATACATAAAACGCATTGGTACAGCATCATAAAAACAGCTAATACAAATGTGCTAAGTATTTACATTCCAAAAATGTCTCTTTTATTCGAAAGTAAAAAGACTTCTTGTTTACAGCATTAAAGTATTCAATAAATGACTAAAAACATCTTAATATATCTTTCCGTAAACAGTAAAAACATTAAAATCAAAGTTTTCACATTAGTTACTTCCATAACTTCTTAACAGTCGTTTAATTAAATTAACAAAAAGAAACATGCTTTTATATGACTTTTGCCCCATAGTATTAAGCTAAAACTTTAAACTCGTAGATAATAAAATCACTGAATATTTGTAAACAAAATAAAACAACGAGCTTCAAGATTTTTTTAAAAAGTAAACCAATCAAAATGCACACTAAAGGGCCTAAACTCAATATTTTTCTTTGGATCTCTCCTTAACTACGTTGAGTTGTACACATATCAATCTCAGAATGAGTTACATTTATAAGAATTGCTTTAGTGTGTTTTAGTGTTATGTTAATTATTTTAGTGCAATGTTTGCCTGCATATTGATCTAATTTCATATTGAAAAAATTTTATTTATAGCCATACAAATCTACACTATTCAGCAGAAAAAAGACATGTAAATTTTTTATTCCCAGTTTTAAAAATAGAGAAAAGCATTTTGCGATGCTGACACGAAAACTGAATTATCTTTGCTTTCCTATGACATAAAACACTGACCTAAATATCTTAAAATTCTGTATAAATATAAATACTTATACGATACGTCTAATATGATTTCATAATTTAATTATTGTAACTTCAGTTTTTTTCAAGTCAAACAAGTTATCCCAAACAAAAAATCATGTGCCACAGCGTGAAAATGAATTAAAAAAGGTCTTTTTGACTATTTTGGGGCCCCTAACATTGCAGGGCTCGCAGCTATAGCTCCCTCTAACTCCAACCCTCCTTAATTCAGCACTGGAAATAAGACAGGAATAAATAAAAGATCATTTGTTTCCTTACAAAGCAATTGTAAGATGTTACTTTATATAAAAAATGTTGCTTATTTTATAAAAAAATTATAAAAGAGCGATGTTTTGAAAATATTAGTTCCAAACGTAATTTATTTTGCTTTAAGTTTTTTCGCGTTAAAAGTTTTCTTTTCCTAGTTTAATTTTTCTTGTGTAATTGTTTCTCATCAGTCCAATTAATCTTTTGCACTTTTTTTTGTTTCTTGAAATGATCTCAAAACGACTAAAAAATCTATCCAGTTTTTTGCAACTAAATATTATTTCTGTGGTCAGTAATTGAGAGCAATCGCTCCCGTTTCGCTTCCAAGCCTACCATATATATATATATATATATATATATATATATATATATATATATATATATATATATATATATATATATATATATATATATATATATATATTCATATATCGCACCCATTATAGAAAAGGGACGTATGTTCATTTTTGAAAATGAGATATTTGAACAGTAAAAACTATGGAATATTGTCCATGTTATCTTGAAGTAACGGGTGAGGAGAAATTAGTTACATAAAAATCAAAGCCTTGTATTTTTAAAGAAATCAAAGCAAAATTTTTATAAATATTTTTTTTAAGTTAATACAATATTTATTTTAACAAAACTATTTTTTAAAAACCGATAGCACTTCATTGATACACCCAATAAATTGTTGTGAACTTTTGGCCTACCATCCATTCTTATACACATCTGAGCAAATATTCCCCAAAAGTCTTCGATTGGCTGGGCTTTGGGAACATTAGGAGGATTCATATCGAAATTAATTTTTTCATCCATCCAGGAAACGGTGACTTAAGACCTATGAGCACTAGCTAAACTTGGCCAAAAAATGTAATTTAGGTCTTGGTAATACTTATCGATGAATGGTGCAAGTCGTTCCTCTAAGCATTCTTTAATATAATATATGATATAATATATATATGCTTGATTTTATTGCAGCCGATGTTGTTGACCAAAAGAGTGGTTTTGACATTCCGTGTTCAGATAGTGCTACCCAAACAAGAATTTATTTTGGAAATTTTTCAAATGTCCAATTTCTTTTGAAATTGGACATTTGCCTTTGTCGTCCGTGTAATATCCGGCGTTTCCAGGCATTCCAGGCTGGCGAAACAAAAGTATTTTTTGTCGTCTAAAATTAAAACACTCTGTCCATCATTGTATTTGGGTGTTTTTTCACGTTTACGGTACTCAATGTTCATTTCGGCCAAATGTGTACAAATTGTCTTTTGATCGACATTGATTTTACGTGCGAGTTTTCTTTGACTTACACCTTTTCGATTGTTGATCAACCTGTGTTGATCAACAATCGAAAAGGTTTTTCTTTTTTTTCGAAAAGTTTTTCTTTTTTTTTCTCAAGTCCATTTTTTAAACACTGTCCTGTAAGGTGTCGATTAATATAATTATATGCTGTTTTGCATAAAGATTCCTTTTTTAATAAAATGGTAAGCAGCTTCAGCTTTGGTAGCTTTTGGATTTTTTACAAAATAATTTTTGACATTATTTTTTTGTGTGAATAAAACTAGAATATTTAAAAATACAAACTATATTAAAATGCTAAAATGTAATATTATGGATTTCAAGCAAAACTAAGTTAACTTTAGTGTAACTAATTTCTCCTCACCCATTATTATGCTTTGATTATTTATAGTTAATGAGTTATTAATAATTTAAAAAAAGGTTTATTGGTGTTGTGTTAAAAACCATTATAGAAAAGAGACTTATCAGACAGTAAGAATTTTTTTCGCTTTGCCTTACAGCACCTGGATTATAGAGTAAAAGACCTCTAGTTAAATTTAAAGAAAAGGTGTGCTCAAATTTATAATAATCAAGTCAAGCATGTTTCCCAATCCAAGCAACAAAATTATCAGTGGTAAAGTTTTTTTATTTTATACATATTAAATTTAATTTAAAAAATATAAATTAAGTATTACTTTTACAACCAATAACTTTTTTATTAAAAAATATATTTCAAATCTTAAAAAAAAAGTTAATCAAATCAACTGGAAATACTACTGTAGACTACTGTATAGAACAAGGCCATTAATGTTATAAGTACATTAAATATGATAAAGCACTACTGTATAGTGAGTGTTATTTATCTGAGAGATGAAGAGTTCTGACAATCAAATAATCTTATTGCTTGTCATTTTAAAATTAGTAAAACGTAATAAATTGATACATTTTTTAAAGTTTGATTTTTTAATTAGGCATTCACAATTGTTTGATTTAGTATTATTGACAATAATTTAACAAAATAATTAAAATTAGGAAATGTTTCATACATAGTTTTCATTTTATTTTAATAAGATGGACAAACATTTATTAAACATATTCATTCTGCTACAGACAAATGTATGATTCGGATACACTTCTGATCATCCTTCAGAATTAGGGTCAGCATTCAGCAATCTCGATCTGAAAGTGTTTGAGATTTTACCATAAGGTCTTACCATAAAACATAGAAACGAGGTCGGCAATTTTTTGCTGACCTTGTTTCTATGTTTTATGGTAAGACCTTTGTATTAAATTTTTTTGCTGACCTGATGTCGACCAGTTAAAAAAATGAGGTCAGCAAAAATTGTTGCCAACCTCATTTTTCCTAATTCTGAGGGTTGCCTCTGATCCATCTCAAGGAAAAAACTAAAAATGGAAGGAAAAAAAGGATTTCAAAATAGATTCAGCTGATAGATTATGATTCTGATGCACCTTTAGCTGAACTTAGTCGAAGTCCGTTAACAAAAAAACAATTGTGCGAAACTTCTGAACTATAGAAACAAGTGATGATGATTTTCAACCTTCAAAAAGAGAAAATATTATTTTGAATTTATCTATTTCATTATCAAAAGCTCTTCATCAGCATCTTCATTTACATCTTCAATTGCATCATCTGATGAGTAATTCTAATGGAGTCTTCTGTATTAACATGCATGATTATAAATTCAGCTGAGTTGTTTGTATCTCCAAGAAAACAACTTAGAAATGAAAGAACGGAGTATTCTTCTAAAGAAGGCAAGATTCGAAAAGCAAGGTTAGTTTACATTTCTTAGCACAATTCTGACCACAACCTGGTTGTGAATCTAAAAGAGAAGAAATATTCAATTACTTTTGGAAAACTGGGGCTATAGAGCGACAAAGAGACTCCATTAATGCAAACGTCTTGGAAGTACCAAAGCAAAGAAATTATGGGATAAACAGCAACAGGAAGCAAAAATCATATGAATGGTTTTTGCCTTACAATCAAGAAAAACATGGGGTTTGCAAAATTTTTTTTAGCAGCCTTAAGTATTTGCGATAAAGTTGTATTTACATTAAAAAAGAAAAAAACAGAGATTAACACCACATATGAAGATCTTTGGGGCAAGCACTCTATCAGAGGAAACTCTAAATCCGACAAAAAGGAAAAGATTAGATTTCATATAGGATCTTTTCCTAAAACAGAAAGCCACTACTACAGGAAAGAAACACAACATGAGTAACTTGAATCTAATATAAATTTAGAAAAAATGTATAGTCTATATAAAAATAGCACTAAAAGAACCTTCAAAAACAGCAACATATAAGAAAATATTTTACACAGAGTTTAATTTAGGATTCCAC